TAAAAACATTTACACGTTTAGTTCAATGTTACCCGCAAATTCAAAGTTACCCAGAATGACTGTATTTCAAAAGTTATGCAAGTTTTAGTAACACCCCTTAAGTAATTCTTTTGATAAAATAACAAGAAGCAGTAAGTCCACCTTGAAACAGCCGTGTAAGGCAAGTTGACGTCAACAATGTTACATTTTGAAATAAATTTATTTACTTATTTATATTCCTACTTTTTTTTGAATTTAAAAACCGCGTTATGCTTTAAAAAGCCGACACATACAGAACTAAATAAGCACACACGATATTTTTACTCGTAACACTATTATTTTTTTAAAGTTGTTGTTGTCAGGGCCGTTCCGAAGAGATTTTAATGGCAGATGGGGAGGGGGGTGACGTATCTATTTTTTGCCTAACTAAAGTCAAAAAAATAATTTTTGCCGACTATCTAAAAAAAAAAAAAAGTTATCGTTGGACGACATTTCCCGATTGCCAACTACAGATCTCATTTTGCCGACTCCAGGGGGCTCGTAGGGGGCTAGACACCCCCTACACCCCCTCTCCTCGGGACGGCTCTGGTTGTAAGTTATTCTGCTGTACAAACAAAAATGGTTTATGCAAGTAAATAGTCTACATTGTATTATTTAAATGTTTATATCAGGGGTCGGCAACCTGCGGCTTGCCAGCCTCATATTGTTTATTCGATGTAAAGATGCGGCTCTTTAGCTCCATGTACAAATATTAATATAATATTAAAAGGAAGATGTTGGAGGCTCTTTATAAACTGTAAAATTTTTTAACTTTTATTTTTTGGCTCCTCCGTTTTAAAAGGTTGCTGACTCCTGGTTTATGATATTTGTTATATCATATAACTAGTATAACAAAAAATCCATATAATATATGCATTTTTTGTTATACTAAAAAATGCATATGATATTACCTCTTTTACGGGTAGACTAATGTCATTAGTCTACGCGACTAATGTCATTAGTAGACTAATGTCATTAGTCGCATAGACTAATGTCATTAGTCGCATAGACTAATGTCATTAGTCGCATAGACTAATGTCATTAGTCTACGCGAATAAATCATTAGTAATGATTTATTCGCGAACTTTTTTGGTTAAGGATATTCATACAAGTTCGACGGTGTTATTTACTTTAATTTCTTGGTTGCATAGTTAATATTCTTTAATTGTGATTGAGATCCAGGTTCGAAACGAGCTTTGGACATTTTTCGCGTCACGGTAAGGAAGGAGGCGTGAACTTCCTTTCAAATGCTCTTTCACGGTGCTCTGTGATAAGATCGTTAGGACTTCTTGGGGCACCTAAATAACAAATTAAAAAAAAAAAAAATTTATATTGTTAAAAAAATTTACTATCACCGTTATAATTTTTTATTATTCAATATTTTGTAATTATGCCAGAACGAAACAAGATCATCAAAAATTTATTACATTCTCAAAATTTTATGCTTATCTACTGCTAATTCCATGGGTTACATGAGAAATACATAAGCTGTTGTCATGCTATTTAAATTATGATTGTACTTGGTCAAGTTGCTCAAAATGATACGTTTTTACAAGCTCAAGATAAAATCCAGCTTTTTATTAAGAAAAGTAAGTGTCTTTCTAAAGTTTTTTCAAAAAATAGTATTGTTAACTTTTTTAGAGATAAGAAAGATTTATAATTTTTTTTTTAATGATTGAGATAATTACTTTCTACTTAAGTATAGTCCTTGAAGACACAATTTTATTTAATTTTGTTTGTGATTATTTTTTCGTTATTTTGAGTTTTTTTGAGTTCCATTAAAAAAAGCTCATGTTAGGAAACTGGTTTTTTTAAAATGAGATGATTGGGTGTATTGAAAATAATGCAATTTTTGGTATAAAGATTTTTTTAATCAGCTATTTATTTATATTCTTTAACAGGAAAAATTAAGATAATAATTAAAAAATAAACTAAATATTTTTCGGCTGCAAAAAAGCAATATATTGTTAACATGCTCAAAATGCGCATCCTTCCCATACATAAATTATGATTAATATTTAAAACTATCATTGCAATTAATTCATTCGGAAGGAAATTCCTTCGGGAAATTTATTCGGGGGAAGGGGAGGTATTTAAACGGTGACGTATTTTTATTGCAGGGTCATTGGAAGTTTGACAAGCTGCTGACAAGGGGGAGGGAGGTGAAAATTACCAAAAAATTGTTGACGTAATTTATGGACAGTTTGTAAGAGTAAATTGAATACAATTTTTGAACTTTAAACTTTTTTTTTTTTTAGTTAAACTACTTTTGAATTACTTTTGAAACTTGACTACTAACACCAAAACAATGTAATTTGTTTTGGTGTTAGTAGTCAAGTCGAGAGAAGAAAGACAAGACTGAAGTTATTGGAAAAGTATTGGAATTGAAATATTGGAAAAGTAAACAAGTTAAAAAAAAATACTTTGTACTAAACATAACAACTTTTTTTTATTTTTTTATTTTCCAGTGTAAATGTGTAACATGATTAGTTAAAGAATATTGATCTTAAACATTTTGATGAAAACATAATTGGATTTTCATTACAACTTTTTTATAAAAAGTGCAACGTATGAAAGGAAAATTAGTTTGTCATTAGTATTTAGTATATCTCATAGAACTCTAACTGAGTAAATTCAAAAGAAGTAAATATCAAAAATGTTATAACTTTTAGAGAATTTAGACAAGATTGTGAAATCAAGATCCATTCCTCCAAAATATCTGACAAATAGATCGCAATACATTTCTTACAATGATGGTAAAACGACCGATATGAATTTAATGTGTGGGTCCCTCGAGGTTCTTTATTTGGGCCACTCCTATTTCTCATCTATATCAATGATTTAAGTAAAGCATGCAGTAAACTAGATACAATTTTATTTGCATATGATACAAACCTGCTCTATGCATATAATGATATAAACATTCTATTCAAATCTGTAAACAAAGAGTTAATAAATCTTATTGAATGGTTCAGTGCAAATAAATTATCACTAAATATAACCAAGACGCAATATACTTTTTTCCATCGTTTTCATGATCGAGATAATATTATTTTAAAACTTCCAAAACTCTGTATTGACAATCAAGACGTAAAAAGAGAAATCACTTTGAAATTTCTCGGTGTTTTGCTTGATGAAAATGTGACGTGGAGAGATCACATACATTATCTCGAAAGTAAAATCTCGAAGAACATCGGTCTGATTTGTAGAGGAAAATCTTTTTTAAATCAACATTGCTTAAAATTGTTATATTTCTTAATATTATTATTATTTTTTATTACTAAATTTTCAATTTCTAGAGGACCAAAAGTATGGAATAAAATAATAACTAATGATCTTAAAATAATTGCAACGCTTGAGTTGCAACAATTGAGTTTAAGACCAAATTAAAGCAAAGACTGTTGATGAGCAACATAGCGCATGGTTTCTTCTGATGTATATGTAAAGGTGTATACTGGTTTAAAAGGAAAGTTTCAGGATTATGAGTATTTGCGTGTATGCTTTTTAAGTATATCATTTTTTGCTATACTATAGTATTCGCTTTTACTTTGGTATTTAATTTTTGTCCTTTTGTAATATTAAAATAAGAAAAAAAGTAGATTTTCATAGTTAGTGAGGGGCATTCAGGACTCATGAATTTTATCTTTTTGTTTGTTTGTTGTTTGTTTCTTATAAATATAAAAAGTCTATATAACAATATTTTATATGCTGTAGTGTTATAGTTTTACGATTTTTATATTTTATTATTGTGAATTACGGTATAGATTAAGGGGCTTGGCGATAAGACAAATGTTTTCTTCTTGTCCCTTCTATTTGTATTTACATATGTTTTATGTTATGAATAAATTTATATGGGAAAAAAAAAATATATATATATATATTATTCACAATACGGTCGGAAGATTTTATGTTTGACGGTGCAACACAAAATCTCAATCAATCTTTCTATTAGATAACTTTGATAAAATGTTCTAAAAAATGTTTTTATTGCTAAAAATTTTCTCGATGTGGATCGATCGATCTGGGTGTTACATTGTGCAATGCTGTCATAAATTACAACAATGATTAGATAGGTTTTGAAAAATATTCATTTGTTTTACGTTCTTGTTCAAGCAGCCATATTGAATTTAATAATATTTACCTATTTATTATAAAATTTAACTAGAAATATATTATAATTAGAGAAATATTATAATTTGAATTTTAAATTGAGTGATAATATATAATTGGTAAATATTTTAAATTTTATTATCAGTTAAATAATATAAATTGGTAAAAATGGTGAAACTTATCCAAGAAATTGATATAGAATGAGAATTAAAAATACGCAGTTACTTAAAAGAAACGGAGAGCAATTCTGGTTCCATCTTTTTTCATCCATCAAGTGTTTTTTTTAATTTATTAAAAACTATATTTTTCAACTATACCCAAATTGTAAAACCTGTAAAAATTAAACAAAGTGTTTAGCTTCTTTTCCTGCATTATGCGTAAGGACTTCTTGGGAAACCTAAAAAAAAAAAACTTGGAAAAAATCCCAACTTTTAAGTATTCTATAATTATAAATTTTTTTAATTGTTTTAATTTCTGAAGTTGAGGTTGTTGAAAAACAGATTTAAGTGTGAAAATATTAAAATTGACCCTGAAAATTTAAAAGTATTAAAATTCTTATTTTTAAGCATATTTCAGGGCTCTTAGCTTATACTCAATTAAATTTTTAAAATTTAATGTTAAATCCAACACTTTTTTTATTAATGCTAATTAATCTGATTTTTATGTTTTGACTTGAGTATGACACACCTTAATACAAACCTCTGACGATTATATAACTATTCGTTTTTTTTTATTGATTCTTATTTTTTAAACAATATTTTAAATAAACACCTTAAATTTTATTTAATTTCATTTTAGAGTGTTTTATTAAAACTGTTTTTGTTATAACTTTTTAAATTTTTTCTTTATAAAAAAGACCTTTAAAAACGAAATAAAGACGGATTAAATCATATATTGCATGACTAGAATAAATTGCTTCCAAAAATTAATACAAAAACGCTCTGTTTACTAAGAATTTATATAATTTTCTGTTTTCATATCAGATAAGCCATATTGATCGTTTTGATCTTGTGTACGTTCGTACTTTTCGATTTTTATTTCGGGATCAGGATCTGGAGCGTATATATTCTAAATAAATTTGCGATAATGTAATTAGTGATTTATTTAGAGTACCAAAAAAAAGTAAAAACACGAAAAAAAAGTTGACATTCATCGCAACATTTGTAAAAAGTAATAAAAAAATACAATAAAGTAAAAAAACAAACACAAACGAAGGAAAATGAGGAAAAACTACCTGTAAATATGAATTGCCAACTGGATCGTCCAATACAATAGTAATGAATTCTTTACCTTCGATAACCTATTAAAGAAATAAAAAAAAAATGATTGTTCAAGTAAATATACATACAAACTACATCCATACATACAAACTCCAGCCATACATACAAACTCCAGCCATACATACAAACTTTTTATAGTATTAATGTTTTGTTAGACTATTTAAAAATTAAGTTATAGCTTTAAAGTTAAAGATTATTTATAATGCTGGTGTGAAATGAAAAAAATTTCTAATATTACCAATATTATGTTGTATTTAGGTTTGATTAACTTTATTTCTTTTGTAAACTTTATAAAATATCTATATTGTTTATTTAATAAAGAATATAGGTTATACTTTTTGAAAAACATAAAAAAACATTATTACAAGAAATCAATTTAATTTTAAGATTTTATGTATTTTTTGTCAAATGATCAAAAAATTTATCTATTTTGCGAATATTTTAATATTATACGCGAATTCTTTGATCTCACGGTAAAAGTTGTAAATACAGTACAATCTCTCTAATTCGAATTTTATGGCTAAAAATAAAAGTTCGAATTAGAGAGATTTTCGAATAATAGAAAGTTGACTTTTTTTCAAATATTCTTTTCAAAGTAACGAATAGAAATCAAACCAACAAACAAATAGTAATTCTTAGGCCTTAAAGCATTATATATTATGTGTTTTAAACTTTTAGATTTGAAAAAAAAGTCAGTAATTGTAAATTGTCTTTTATGAGCTATTAAATTCATGTCAAAGACACGATTTATATCTTTAAGAGTCTTTGTCAACTTATCTCCAAATTAGTTTGCTTTTTCTTAAATTAGTCTAGCCATCCTTCCGAAGCTTAAAATTTTTTGAAGCATAGTTCTATCGCAAAATATAAAGCGTTTTATTTTACCAGCAGCCACTAATTGGTACATTATCAGCTCTCATTCGTTTGAACCATTTAAATACAGCTTTGTTTACGAGGTAATACGAATCAACTTTCACCCGATCAGTAGAATTTTATCTTTATTCTTTATCCAGGTTGAAAAAGTGTTTGGTGGAATATCAAAATTTTTTGAAACCTCTTTATTTGTTTTTCCTTCCTTCGATTACATTAGAGTTTTTTATTTCCGCTTTAAATGGTTTTCTCTATGTCTCTTTGATGCCATGATTTTTTTTTAAACAGTAGAAGATAATTTACACTAATCGTTTTTCAAAAACTCACAACATTCGAAATTTGAAAAAAGATTTTGACGGTCTTATGAGTTTTTTACATGTCAGAAGTTAAAAAAGTTCAATTTACAGAGAGAATCTTACTGACGGGCCAAAAAAATCTATTCAAAGGGTGGAGGTTTTCCAATTATAGAGATTTGAATTATAGAAAGTTAAATGTAAGACTTTTTTAAGCACATTTCACGGCAACTTTGCATTTAATCGAATTATGGAGATTTTCGAATTAAGGAGATTCAAATTAGAGAGATTGTACTGTAGAATCTTCTCTTGAAATAAATATTGATTTGAATTTACAAAAAAGTAATAGTACAATGTTTTGGAATATTCTATTGAATGATTTAAAGGTTAGAGTTAGCTCCAAGTTTATTTGCATCATTACAAAGGTGGCGCATAAATTTCTGTAGATATGTGTTTAAATACATAGTTGATTTAGCAGATCTGGTATTAAACTTAAAAGTGGAATGTGAGTGATTGTTTTTATGTAGATTAAGTGTGATTGGGTGGCTAGGTTCTATTTCGTTTAAGTGTGCTGAGACATACGAAATCAAGATGTTCTTCAATAGGAAGGATACCATAGTAGCTTGCATTATGTGGATCAACCCCAGCAGTTTTAAAATTTATTTAACAGTAATAACCGATAGGTTTTATTGTGCATTAGATAAAGGTGGAGAGGTTAAGGATATCGATCTTGACATTTCTAAAGCGTTTGATAAAGTTTGGCATGCTAGTCTTCTCCATAAGCTTTCTTCTTATGATGTATCTGGCAACATCTTTAAGATTATTGAATCTATCCTTTCCAATCGTAGTATAAAAGTTGTCCTCGATGGACAGCACTCTTCTTCTTATTCTGTAACCTCAAGGGTTCCTCAAGGTTTAATCCTTGACCCTATACTCTTTTTAATTTACATTAACAAACTTCCAGATATTCTCTCATCTTAGGTGGCATTGTTCGCTGATGATACTACCATTTATTCTTGTCACGATAAGAAGCCAACACTCTCTGATTGTTTGGTGGGGGCATTTCAGCTTGAAAAGGATCTCATTTCTGCTACAACATGGGGCTCACAGTGACTGGTGAACTTTAATTCAGATAAAACTCAATTTTTTTTTAGCTAATCATTATTTATTACTCCAGATTCTATTTTCTATTTCTATAAATCTCAAATCCGTCCTTGTATGGAATATTGTTGCCATATTTGGGGCGGATCTTCTAATGATGCCCTTTCTCTTTTAGACAAGGTGTAAAAGCACATTGTAAACATAGTTGGACCTGCTCTTGCAGCCAACCTTCAACCATGCTCACATCGTCATAATGTTGCTTCTCTTTCTCTTTTCTACAAATACTATAATGGGCACTGTTCTAAAGAGCTAGCGTCTCTTGTGCCATTTACTAAAATTCATTCTTGTGTTACTTGTCATTCAATTAAGTCTGATCCTTTTACTGTGACTGTTCCTAAATGCTCCAAAAACTCTTATTCCTCTAGTTTTTTTCCTCAAATATCAGTTCTTTGGAATTCGCTTCCTTCATCTTGCTTTCCTAATTCATATAATTTGCAATCTTTTAAGTCGTCTGTCAATCATTATCTTGCTCTACATTCTTCATCTTTTCTCTTCCAGTAACTTCCAACACTAATTAGTGGTTGCTTGCAGTCTTGTTGGAAGCGAAGATATTAAAAAAAAAAAAATTCTCCCAGGAAGAAAACCAAATTGGCTATTTGATAATAATTTATCTTGAACATGTGATATAATATGTTTTGCAAGGATGCATTCAACTATTTTGCATGTTACAGATAATATAGAGATCGATCAGTAGTTATATATTTAAAAATTTATAAAAAAATAAAGTTTCAAAGTAAATTCCTTTATGGAATTTATTTACGGTGAAATTTATGGAATTTATTGATACAGAATTATTGACAATATTATATCTTTTTACTAAATTGCATGGAATCTCAAAAAATAGATTATTATTCGTTAAATTAAAAAATTCCAGATATTGTTTAAATGCATAATAACATATATGATACACATGATATAATAAAAATCTTAAAATCAAGCAAGTTTCTAATGAACTCTTTAAATGTACTGTTAAGTAATTTTTACTTTAGATCAATTAACAATTATTGAGATGAAAAATAAAAAACCATGTTGCACAAATTAAAAATATAAGCTTGTCTTTTTTGATTAATATAGTAAATAGAGAATATTGAAGATTTTTCAAGTAATGCTTCTGCAATACTCAAGAAACTTGTAAAATAAAATTAATTCAATTTATAGATGTTCTGTAGAATGTTGTTACAGAAAATAACAACAGTGTTGAAAATATTGAAGATATATATTATTCTGTGATAAACTGGAGAGAAAAATTTTTTCTCATGATCAGGCCCAGCAGGATAATTTACAAAAGTTTAGAATCAGTTTAGTATTTTTTAGGTAAATCCATAATTTTTTTGAAAATGACATACACAAAGTTAAAATTTAATTTATGTTATATACATACATGTGAATGTATATAACATGTGAATCTATATAACATAACTTACATACATGTGAATGTATATAACATGTGAATGTATATAACATAACTTACATACATGTGAATGTATATAACATAACTTTTGCAAGAGACTAATAATTTGATGGATTTTGTGACATGCACCAGTAGTCAGCAAATTGAAGATTAAAAAAATTTCTAAATCAACCATACACCTCTATTCATTTATTAATGCCCTTCTGTCAATAAAATAAATTATTAATTTCTATTAAAGTGTTATAGTGGTAACAGTACTTAGTTGGAAAATATTTTAAAAATCTTTTTTAAAAACTTTTTTAGATAATTAAACTATGTGATAGAACAATCTATTACAAAAACCCTCTTGGTGATGCTAAAGCTTCTTTACAAAAAGAAAGAATAAAATAAAAGTATGAATTCAATGACTTCATTTATGTTTTACTTTCAAAAATATAAACTTTTTTTGTGGTTACTTGTTGCAAAGATACTGCAATGACAAAAGAAAATACTAAAGATTAGTTAGTGACATAACCACATATGTTAGAAACAGACAATATATTCTGTTGAGTATGTTAGAAACAGACAATATATCATGTAGAGTCATTCATAACTTTACCAAAACAAAGGTAATTAGGATGAATTTAAACAGAATTTGGAAAGGTAAGAGATCCATTAAAAATGTTGACTGAGCATCAAAACTTTACAAGTTTTTAACTAAAAAGACAAAGAAAAAATTAAATAAAATATTGTCATACTAAAAGCAATTACTTGGGTTGGTTACATATTTTTAGATATGTCTGCCATGTTGACAGTTGGTTTTAAAATACCTGAATACATAAATAACTTAATAAATTTTAAAAAAAGAATTTTTGAAAAAGAACATTATTTTTTGTTTTATAAATTTCTATGCAAAATTCTATTTTTTTAAAAGCCATTCTTATCAATAATGAAAAATTTTTACAAAACTAATTAAAAAAAACTATAATATGAAATATCTTAATAATAAATTTACGGAGAAAGATAATAAAGAATTGACAGCTGATACAGTGGATTTTTTTAAAGCATTGCAGCCATGATTTTAATTAGCAGGGACTTTAAATTGTTGTATGTATCATATCCCCCATGTATCCAATTGTATCCGATATAAAATTTAATAAAATATAGAATAATATTAATTTGTTACTTCGAATATTACATCACTTATCCACACCTATCATATCTGATACAAAAAATTAGTAAAATAAAGAATATAAAATCAATTTTTTTTTAGAACTTTTTTATACTCCATGTATAACAAATGTATCCAACATAAAACTTGGTAAAATATAGCATATAATATCAATTAGTCGTTTTTAGATATTAATATTATTTAGAATATCATATTACGCATAAATCCTGTATAACATATATTAACTATTCTAATTGTATAATATATTATAACATTTCTAGAAAAACTATTTAGATAGTTGAGGTGGTGGTTAGATGGTTGAGGTGGTTGATGGTTGACACTTTTAAAGTATTTAAATTTAAATTGCATCTGTGTTTTCAATTTTTTTTATGGAAGATATAATATTCAAAGCTACGGTATTCTATTACAGATCCCCTTAAAATGATTTGCCCTATTATTCCTTATTTTTTACATATATTTTTAAAAGTTTACAAGTTCTGTTAAATCGTGTCATGGGAGGAGTGATTCTAACTATTCTTTAAAGTTAAAAATGCTTTAAAAATGACAAAATATGGAATACTTATATGAAAGGTTTGGTAATCTAAAAGCAGCTATATTTGTAATTTTCACATTAAAACATCTATCCTCCTCAAAGTTATATTTAATGTGAAAAATTTGTGGGCAAATTTGAAAAAAAGTATAATAACAACCAGATTATATCTTTTACAGCCATATTTAAAACTAGAGTACTATTTATACATGAACAGTTATTACAAAAGTGTTGTCACTTATGACTTTTACAACATTCCAAACATATAGGACTGATTGCACAAAAAAGCCATCCTCTTTGTTTTAAAAATGCATAATTAAAAAAAAGAAAAAGAGTTGATCTTTTGTCATCACCTAAGAAATTTATTACAATGTTGGCAATCAAAAAGACCCAAATGATTTTGTCAACACATTCAGCTGATATCGTTTAAACAATAGAATGGATTGGGTGTCAAAAGAAATAATTTTAAACGCAATATGCATGTTTAATTTTAAAAAATTTATAAGGTTATATAAGGTGTCAATTGCACCAACCAACATCTGTTGTATTAACCTATTGTGTAATAGCACCAAAAACAATGTTTAATATGTTTCTAATATATTAAGCTAATATATTGTTTTCTGAATGTTTCTTTATTTCTAAACATATTAAATACTTAATACATTTAGAAATTTAGAAACATTCAGAAAACATTAAATACAAAAAGAGAAGCACAAAAACATTTTACTTGATGTAGAAAAAGAAAAAAAATGAAAAGAATGGAAAATCAAACTCTGAAAAAAATTAAAATGATCCTGATACCATCCAGAGACATCCAGAGACATCCAGAGAAAATGATGCTCTAGAAAGCTGCAATGCAAAGAAACATTTTGTGTAGTGAAAAATAAAACTATTACAGGTAGCATAAAAATAAAATCTCAGCAACAGTTTTGTGTTAGTGTTGGGCATAAAAAATAAGTTTAACCTGTCAAATGTGCTAATTTGTTTTGAATTTCATCGAAATGGAAACTGTTTTTTCTAAATATCACGCTTTGGAAAGTATTAGTAAGTGGTTTTTTAACACGAGTTTAAAAAAAAAAGAAATTTAAATTTAACATTGTTTTATTTTTTAAATAACATATACATTAGGGTTGTACACTATGCACATTTTTTTTTCAAAACACCAGGATTGAAGCTTTTCCTATTCTACTATTAGGGTACTATGGAAAAATATCTTTTTTACATAGTACCCTAATTTTATTATTTTCACTGAAGGTCCCTTAAAGCCCCAAAATGTTTGACAGGTCTCTATATTACTTAAAAATATCTCAACCTGGTACTCAAAATTTCATTTTATAAAAATTTTAAAGATTTGATTTATTTTTTACAAAAATAACAATTTTAGGTTTTTTTGAATAAAAACTATTGTTTTTAAACAAAAAATGAAAAAAAAAATATATATATATTTACAACGTTTTTAATAATGAGTATTTTTAAGTTGTTTTTTATAAAAATGAATAAAGAGATGCAACCTTAGCAGATGCTAATTTTGCAATGGATTTGATATATGATGATTTGATATATATAATTATTTATATAACTATTTAAATTTTTAAATAGCCTATTTAATTATAATTGCGAATCAAATTCAATTAAACAATACTCTCTAAACATGCATTAAAAATAGCAGCTGAGGAAAATTTATATAACCTAAAATGATAATTTACTTTAAAATTTATATTTATATATTTATTTAATTTTTAAAATTAAATAAATATATAAATATATTTATTAAATTTTAAATTGACATTTTTTTAAATAATTTTTTAAAAATAATATTAGGGACCTGTCAAATGTTTGGGGGCTTTGAGGGACTTTCAGTGCAAATAATAAAATTTTGAAAAAAATATTTTTACATTGTACCCTAATAGTAGAATGGGAAAAACTTCAATCCTGGTGTTTTGAAAAGAAATTGCAAAGTGGACAACCCTAATATACATATGAGGCACCTCACAGGACCAAAAGGTACCAAGTCTTAGAAATAGAGTTACTGATACATTTGCATAGAGTTAGGAATAAGCCACAAAATAAACAAAAATTAGTTTGATAGCATCATTATTGAAAATTCTACATAGTTTTTCAAGGAAGTGTTTTAAAAATGAAATTACAGTAAAAAATGACTTTAAAAGTTTGACATACTTTAAAACTGTGTAACTTTCACGTAATAATGAATTTAATGTATATTTTGATTATTTATTTTAAAAACTATTATTAAATAATGATAAAACTGCTCGAAAAAATAATAAAGTTAGTTTCAAATTTTTCAACATATTTTTCTTAAAACACGTATATCTCCAAATCTAAAAACTAAGACTTGGTACCTTTACCTGTGAGGTACCTCATATAATGATTATATTTTTACTAAAAAAAAAATAAGTTGTATAATATAATAAATATTAAAAAAATAAATAATGCAATATGTGATACATAAAGTATCAAACATAATAAAATGTAATAAATGAAATAAAATATGCAAAATATAACAAAAAAAATGTAATATATAAATGTAGAATATATAAAATATATATAAATAAATTCAATTAGAAAGATTAAATAAAATAAAAACAAAAGTGTTAAAATAAAAAAAATGTTGAAAAAAATTAGTTAAAAGCAAAATTACCTTATGTATTGTCTCAACCAAATCATTAACTTTATTAGTTTTTGCTGCACTATCTCCAAATGAAAAAGGACTTATAGTTCCAAGCTAAGCAAAAAATAATAAGAATAATAATAAAAAAAAGTAAAATAAATTTTTCAGAAAAAAATTTAATGTTAGTGGTTAAATAACACTTTAATGACAAAATGACTGTGTAGATAAGAAATCAAAACAGATGTTAAAATGACATGGCAACACTTGCATAAAATGGCTTTGCAACCAATTTTGTGTTTATTCAAACAATATATTCCTTTGTGTTTATTCAAACAATTTATTCCTTTGTGTTTATTCAAACAATTCTTTCCTTTATATATATATATATATATATATATATATATATATATATATATATATATATATATATATATATATATATATATATATATATATATATATATATATATATATATATATATATATATAATTATAAATTTTAGCACTATTATTAGATTAATTTTTGTAAAATTAAAAGAAGAAAATATTTCGTTTATTGTTTATTTTGTTGACTAATTTTTTTAATTATTGGTTATAAACATATTTCAAGTTATATATATATATATATATATATATATATATATATATATATATATATATATATATATATATATATATATATATATATATATATATATATATATACATACATATATATATATATACATATATATATATATATATATATATATATATATATATATATATATATATATATATATATATATATCCACTAATCGTGAATTTTCAGAAGTTTGGAACAAAAAATAATATCAAAGACTTGTACAAAGGTTTGTAGCAAATGCAACTACTTTGTTTGAAGGAGGTTCCAAAATAAACTCAAATAACATTCATTACTTCTGTGCCATTAAACTACAGACCAAATTCCGATTACTTCTGTGCCATTAAAAATACTGGAGAACCTAGTTGAAAATAAGGTTATAGAGAATTTGTCTCAAAATCTTATATCGAATTGTCAGCATGGTTTTGTAAACAAAAAATCTTGTTACTTATTTTCTCATTAATATTTATTCCTAATTCTATAATATATCATGTAAGTTTTCTGTTAACATTCTTTTTCTTGACTATGCTAAGGGGATTAATATTCAATTCCATAGGACTCAAGTACTTGCCACAAGACTGCTACAAATACTTGAATTCTATGGAATTGAACTAGAAAAATTTTGTCTGCAAACTGACATTGACAACATTGTTGATTGGGTGAAAGTATGGCATATGGAATTTAATGTTAAAACATGTAAGGTAATGCATGTAAAACAAACCAAATCCTTTCCACATTTCTACTTCAGTGACAACCAAGAATCAAACAACAATCTCAACAGAAATCAACTCGAATTAACCTCAAAATAAATACTAGACCATATGAATATAAAGGGTAGAAAGAAAATAACTTTTTTTTAAATTCATTAAGGTTTTCAAAAAAAAAAAAAAAAATCTATTTAATACCAAAATTCGTATTTAAACTAAAAACTTCAGTACACAGTTTTATAAATAATGAAAAAAAATGTATATATGAGTTATTAGGTATACAGTAAAAATATTATATAATAAGGTTCAACTTAACATAAAACACTTACATGTTCAAGAACATTGTATAAAAGTCCTTCAAGTGTTGTAAACTTTCCTCCACTAGAAGAAAGTCGAAACTCCATTTCCAGGTGTGGAAAACTCACTGTGCATGATTCAGACTAAAAAAAAAAAATTAATAAAAAAAAAATTTGAAACAGTTTTGGATCTTTTCTTTAAATTAAGAATCTAGTAATATTCTTTAAAAGGCAATCTACATACTGTCAAAACATCTCTATTTAAATCAGAAGGATCTGTCATTCTAAATGTAATTCTTGTACCAAGCTCTTCAATTGCACCTAAACCAAAAGCATAATTTAATTTTTGACTACTTAAATTATTTAAAAAAATATTTTATTACTGAATTAAATTGCAAGTGTAATATATATATTTTATCCCTTTTTATTTTAAAGAATATTTAAAATAACAAACTGGATGTATATTACCTAGCAACTGCCTAATGTATATTACCTAGCAACTGCTTAATGCTAATTAAAGGCTTCAGCAAATACTTTTAGATAGCTGTAGCGCTGATTGTTTTTTAAACCAAAGATACATTTAAAAACAAATGACACAAAAAATTTAAAGGCACAGGAAGCAAAAAAAGAAATGATATTGGTTTTAGTCAGGTAAGACCACTATAAAGATTATTTCAGTAATATTTTTGAAGTGCTCAAAAACTGCAAATTCCTTTCTGTATAAAAAAACTGCTTGAGATGTTGTAAGACAATTTAACATTCCAGTACAAACAAATAGAATAAAAAAATTTCAGTCAGAGAAAACGTCATAAGAGAGCCAATTCGATACTGCACCCTGGCCAAGAAGTCAAAGGTGTTGAATTCTACAATGCAAAGGGTAATGAAAGACCTTAACCTGATGTTGAGGGCTGTGGTAAAAAACACTAAATAACAAAAAATCAAAAAGAACTCAGAAAAAAACGTTGCAAAAAATTTTTAAATTTGGCAAAAATCACATTGAAACTTGTCAGCCTTTTTTCTGATGAAAAATTATTCACGGTTGACTAAGTAGTAAATCAACAAAACACTCAACAAAGGTATGAGCACTGATAAGATTCAAGATGTTCCAGAACACGCCAATTATGCCTTTAAAACAAAACACCTAGTCTTGCTGATGATCTTGGATGTCATTGGAAGGAAAGAAAGGATGGTCAAGTGCTTGTTTCGAAAGGCTAAAAAATCGACTCAGAATATTTGTGGCTTCTACAGACCGTTGTTCTCTTGATAAAAAAGACATCCCAGATGGTAATTATGCATTTCAGCACGATCGTGCACCTATTCATACCTCTCAACAGTAACTCATAAGTCAATATGCCCCCCTTTAAGTACAGAATTGAAACCTCTGGACTATTTTAGGTGGCTAATTTTGGCAGTATTTCTAGTTCATTTAAACACCCATGTGACCCTACTCGTTTAATTGAATTTTTAGCAGACGTGCCACATTTATTAAAGAATATAAGAACATCTCTCTTATGTAACAAACATGTTATAATAACAGCTAAGATTCAAAAAAAATATAAACTTCAATCGCCAATTATAGATTCAAAACACCTTAACAAGCTTGTAGACTTTCAAGAAGGTATGGATTTGAAGTTTGCTTACAAGCTTACATTTGAACATCTTGATGAAAAACATTTCAACAAAATAAAAGTATCAAGAGCAACATTTGTAATAAATCATGATGTAAATTGTAGATTAAAATTTATTGCAAATGAAATAAAAGATGATTCTATTCACACAACTGCTTGGTTTATAGGAATTGTTGATAAATGGTTTACATTTATGACTTCACGAAACCCAGGTATGGCTCTTAGCATGAAAAATAACAAAGTTTACAATGAAACAATAACTTTTTTAAATGACATCATTGAGATATTCCATGGTTTAAAAATATTATGCCAAACTAGAAAAATAAGGTAGAAACCTGTTCAATCTGGTGTTATATTATCAACAACATCAGTTATTAACTTGCAAAATAATTTACTTCTAGAAAAAAAGTTTGATTTTCTAATGACATCATGATTTACGCAAGATTGCCTGGAGAATCTTTTTTCCCTGGTATGTGCAAAACAAATAATTCCTACTGCTTTTCAATTTAAAAATAACTTGAAACTTATTTGCATTGCCCGATTCTTGAAAAAATCATCAAAAGGCAGTTATGATATAGATGACCATCAATTCTTATCTGGTTTTCTTGATAAAAAACTAAATCTAGCTATGCTTTTAGAGAAAATTAATTCTGATGAACAAATTAAAAGTCTAACTTTGTATCCTAATTGTCATCAAATTAATCTAAAGCTAGAAAACAGGTTTATAACATTCAGACTTAAAATACTTAGCGTTGAAAAAATTCTTAAAAAAAAGCGTAAAAAGAAAAAAACTAAAAAAAGTTCTTGTGAACTTGGCAGCAAGAGTATGACAATACATGCATTGGTTCAACTAATTTATAAAATAAATTGTAATGCTTTTTCCAAGTTACTTATTGATTACAACTACTTTTTTGCTGTGTTTTTTATTAAAGATATTTCCCAAATAAATAAATAACTTTGTCGAAAAATAATTTTGAAAAAATAAAACATAAAAAGGTTTAGTTTTTTTAAATATATTTTTGTTTAAAATATTATTGTGCTCATTTGTTGTTTTTTTTCTTTCAATTGTTTTTACTTGAATTTGTGAATGTCATATGCTAGTTTGGCAAAAACATGGCCGCCGTTTTTCCGTATTTTCTGTATGTCCGCTCTCTGAGTATATAGGCTCTCTAAGTGTTTGCTTTTTTTTTTTGTTTTGTTTAAAAACAAATTTCTTTTAGAGTTTTGAAAATTTGTCTTTAAAATATTATGCAGTTGCTGGGTTACCCAGTATTCTTACCACACTGTACTAATAACAAATATTTACCAAAAAAAACAATAAAACCATTTTTACAGTATTTTGTTAGCAAGCAAAACACACAGAAACTCTATTAAAATTAATTAATTTATGATAGTATATTATAAGTATTTTTAATGTCTACAGTGATCTAAATACTAATCTAATCTAATATATTTTATTGTTTTAATTAGTAAAGAGTGATTAGAAAAAAAAATTTACTAGTCATGTAATGAAAACTTAATTAAGAATAAAATTTTTAAAAGAATTCCAATTACCCAAGTTATTAAAGTTAGTAATTTAAAGTTTATTGTTTAGCCAAAACTTAAAGAAAAGCAATATGTTTTTCATATTTAAATTCTCATTTTGATTTTAAATATGCAACCCATTTTCACAGTCAGGTCAAGTTGTAAAGACATTTGGGTTCAAATCTTTAATATTTGAGGTAAATGTTAATATGTAAAGTAATTTATTTATCTAAAATCTCTATGAAAAGACGCTTCTTTTAAGATCCAGGTAGACATACTTTTGAAAAATTTTTACTTTGACAACATTATGAATTTTACCCCAAATGATAAAGATTTGAAATCTTTACAACTTGACCTGACAGCAAAAAATGGGTGGCATATTTGAAATCAAAATGGGAAATGCTATACAAAAAACACACTATTTGCACAGCAACAGAAAATTTTTGTTGTTGGCCTCTGTAATTAAAACTATTTACCGATTTAAGGGAAAGTCATCAGACATCTTGAAAAATGTTTTAAACTAAAAACTGCTTTTAGGGTTTGATTTAGAACCTTTTAAACTATATCATATATAAAAACTATATCATTTAGTTTTTTTCTAGCAAAATAAAAACTTTTATAGCAAAATGAAATAAAATTGATGTAATGTTTTTTTGTATGTACAATTTACCAAGAATTTCTTAAGTCATTAAAAAAAGAAAAAAACTAAAAAAACTGTTGAAATCTTTTTATTAGGTTCAATAATCATATAATGGCCCTTATATAAACTAAAATACACAATAGAAACATCAACTTGCTCTAAGCAATATAAATATATGTCTACATGTTCATAAATTTTTTTTGAATACAATACTATCTATTCTAAAAATAGGTCATTTATTGTTAAATACTAATTTTTATTGTTAAAATATGACTTATTACATCTTGTTTGTTTTGATTTAAAAGATACTTCTGAATTTTTTGCATGATTAAAAAAAGATTACAATGTTGCTAGGATTTCAATTGATGGCATATTCATATAGATCATCCAGGTCATATTTTAAAAATCCGGAAAATTGTTTGGGAAAAAATATACAGAAAATATTTTCCCTTATTTTCCTCCTAATTTTGCTTTTACTGAGTTGTTTCTAACTTATTTTTTCAAACTTTTCTTTACTTTTCTACAAGTGATGAACGAAAAAGCTTAAAAAACAAACATATTACACAATTTACACCTAAAATTGTATGTATAAAAAATGTTCAAGATATCTGGAAAAACTAAAAGTTGAAAAAAATATCCGGAATTCCGGAAATATCCGGAAAATGATAATCCCTGTATTCATTAAATAAACATATAACTTCAGAAAACTAGGCGAATCTGGTATAAAAAGATCATTAGTTTTAGGCTGTTGAAGATATTTCAGGATTCAAATATTAGTCAACTATAGAAACCTAAGCTCTTAAAAGTGTAAAATATTGAATATGATTATATCTAAAATGTGTGTTAAGTCTTTTTTTTTTATTTAAACAGACTTAGTAGCAAGTATGTCAGTCTCTGTGCAAATTTACTATATATCATTTAGAAGTTATTAATAACACCAATAACTGTAGTATGTTGTCATGTTCCATATCTAGTCTTGTTTTCAGCACATTTTTTAAGTTTTTATCTAAAAAAAGGTTTTAGTCTTCAGCAGGCCTTCTCAGGAGAGAAGGCCTGCTGAAGAATATATGTGCTGAAGAATATATGTGCATTATTGTTAGGTTTTTATTTTCTCATAAAAAATTATAATAATAAATTATTATTAATAAAAAAAAACCAATAAGATGACTAATTAGTTTGATTTTTTCAGCGCGTTTTTAAAACGCGTCATTTTTAATAAATGCAAAAAAAAATCGTGGCCATGTTATCAATAAAAAAATATATATGCGTGGTCATTCAAGGCGTGCGACCGCACGCCTCTCCTGAGAAGGCCTGCTTTAGAAAAAAATATTTTAGTTCAATTAAAAATTTTTATTTTCATTTTTAAAATAAAAAACTTTGATCTTTAAAATGATTTTTTTAGCATTTTGCAAGAAAACAAAAAGTTTCTTTAAATTTAAAAAAGTTTTTTTAGATAAATAGTTATATTCTTTAAATCAAACCTCCTGCTCTAACTTCATTTGTTTTTTTCCCACATGCGTCACAAGTAGTAGCCATAATTATAACTTGTTTAAAATGTGGAATATCTAACTGCTTCATACGAGTTGGTGCTGGCCCATTGCATGATGAACAATTTGTTTGAAATTCTAAAACTTCAAATTCCTCTTTTTCGTCATCTTGTGCATCTTCATTTTCTTGATTTAAGCCAAGTTGTTCATTATGTTCTTTTGATCGTTTAAAGTATTCAATTTTAACAAAAGGATCTGCATCAGGTGCGTACGGGTTTTCCACAAAACTATTTCCAGATATGTCTTCTACTATCAAAGTAAATGGTATATCTCCAGTTTTATATTCATTGAGTTTATTGATAACTTCATCTATTTTTTTTGCAAGATCTGGATCTTGAATCTAGATTTAAAAAAAATAGTTTAAAACTCAACATTTAACTTTTTTTTTTTTAAACATCTTCACTTCCAAAAAGGCTCCAAGCAACCACTATTAGAGTTGGAAATTACTGGAAGAGAAAAGATGAAGATTATAGAGCAAGATAATGATTGCCAGACGACTTGAAAGACTGCAAATTACATGAATCAGGAAAGCAAGATGAAGTGAATTCCAAAGAACTGATGTTCGAAGAAAAAAACTAAAGGAACTAAAAGCATTTAAAATTGTCTTTAAAAATTTCATACTGCAAAAATGTCTTTCTTTTATGTTTTTTTTATTATAATGTTTATGCATGAAGGTTATTGCAAAAAAAAAAAAAAAAAAAATACTTTTTCAAAATTCTTTTACATCTTGATTAAAAAAATTAAAAGTAGTTAAAACCAAAAATAATACTACAAAAAAATGAAAAATACCATTCTGAGCTGTTGTTGCTGCTGCAAGCCAGCAATAGCATTTTCAAATAATCCTTCAATTGTTGTAAGAGCTAAAATTAAGTTTAATTTAAGTAAGTCTGTTTAATTTAAGTATATCTGTTAAATAAAATATATTTTTGCTTCAGGGCTTAACTGTTAAATATATTTTACTTAAGGTATATCTGTTTACTTTAGGTAAATTTGTATTTACTTTATATTCAAGTTTAGTAATTATGTCTGTATGTTATGAGTATATCTGTTTTACTATGTATCTTATACATTGTATGTATTATATACCCTTATTACTGATGTAATTTCTCTATAACAGAGCAAGTGCATCAGTAATAAGTATGCCTGTGTATAGAAAACAATAACAATGTCTTAATTTTTAATTAATTAAAAGGGTAAAAAAAAAAAAAAAATAGTAAAGGATTTTTTTATTCAAAAAAAATTTCAAAAAAACATTTTATAAACAAAAATAACCTTATTGAAGTAGGTCAAATCACCAAAAATTTTAATTGAAATGTGTCAGGTTGCAAAAAATTTTAAATGAAATATGTGAGGCTACATATAAATTTAATAAAAGAAATTAGTAAGTTACACTAAATTAATAAATACCAAATATAAAAATATAAATTAAAACTGTTTATTAAAAATCAATAACAACCCAGTTAAATTATATATAGGATTAAAATAATAATCAATCACTAAATTTTTATAGAAATAAAAATGAATTTATGTATATATTTTTTGGTTACTTAGTATTCAAATAAGAGACTCAATGACTAAATATGGTTTGTATAAAATCTTTTATTGATTCAACTACCAAATATAGTAATAAAAATAAAGATATTTTTATAAACTTAATAATCAAATATGGTAATAATAAATTTAAATATTTTTTATAAATTTAATTACCAAATAACAGTAACAATAGATACTTTTTATGAGCTTAATTGAATCAGTGTTTTTTAAAATAGCGGATTTGCTCAAGAAGTTTTGAGCAAATTTGCACTTTTAAAAAATTCATTTATCAAAAATGATAATAATATATATAAATACTCTTTATAGACATATTAACCAAATGCGGTAATTTTAAATATAAATATTCTTATGCAATTACCAAATTTGAGTCATGAAGCAGGAACAATATTAAAATTCTTGATGATGTAAATTTGATGTAAAATGTAAAGATGTAAAAAACAATACAAGTCTTAAAATGTAAAGATGTAAAAAACAACACAAGTAGTAAAGATGTAAAAAACAACACAAGTCTTAAATTTGACAAACAATGGTTTAACCAAAATAATAAAATTACCACTAACAAATACATTTTGACACAACTTCAAATATTTGGTGGATATTCTTAATATATGTTTATATAAATGCATATATATGTAGTTCTTTCAACAGTTATAAAAAATTAAAAAGAGAAAATTTTTCAACCATCTAGACAACTTTCTTATGAAACAAAAAGTTTGATAAACAACGAAAAGCGCTAATAAATCAAGGAACAAATTAAGCAATCACGAACTGCAATAAGACAAAGCCATTCAGCCATTCATACATGCAATAAGCCATTCAGAAATCTTAAAAGTGTATTATTTGAAGCAACTGTGATTGCTGATTTTTATATTTTTGGGTAAAAGTTTTTATGAAAAAAAGTTTCATCATGCTTTACAATAATATTGATTTAAAATAACCCAATGATATACAGGTGCATTACGATAAAGCAGACAGGGTAAACAAAGTACAGAGGACCACAGAGTCTACAAAAGAATCAAGAGCTAGCAAGTTTATTATAGGGTTGAAGAAATTATGGAAAATCATTAAAAGGGATGAGTTTTCTCTACAACCTGGTCGTACAAATATTATTAATAATAGCGAACAATCGAGCAAACTCTTTTCCTCTCTCAACGCGCTCAATCCAATGTGCTCTATCCAACGCGTTCTCTGATTTTTGTCTTCTATTTATACTATTTCGGTTTGATCGGACGCATTTTGGTCCAATTGTTTTAAATCAAATTGACTGTTAGACGGATTCATGCTTCATTGCTTTGTTTACTTAACAAACATGCTTGATCGGTTGTTACCTTCGTAACAATAGTAATGTATTTTTATATACTTTAATTCTTTTTTTTTTTTTCCTTTTCAATTTTAGTCAATAATTAGTATTTTATCCTGTATTTGTATTACATGAATTAAAATCTGTTTTAGTAATAGTAAGTAATATTTAAAACATGCTATGTGAGTCTTAGTGAATTTAATAGCAAGTAATATTTAAAATTTTAAACAAGTAAATTTAAAAATTTTGCTACTTTTGTTACAGTAAACTGTAGTTTTTTCATTTATTTTTGCCATCTGGTAAGTTCAAATATTTTTGCCATCTGGTAAGTTTGAGTTAATTGACTACAAAGTTAATAAAAATTTAGCATTTTTTTTATCATATCATATGGATTTTATAACAAAGATTTTTTAACTAAGATTTAATGTTGATTAAATTTAATGTAACAAGAAATACCTCTTTTTTTTTAATTAAAAGTTTTTTAAAACAAGTTGTTGAGATTTAGAAAAAGAAACAGTATATCAAAGCAAAAAAAAAAAAAAAAAAAAAAAAAAAAGTTTCAAAAATATAGATTAAACTTCAGCATTACATACTAAGTTTTGCAGTGCTGGAGATCTTTACTTTTAATCTGCAGCAATTCATTTTTTGTAATATATTATTCTAAATTTATAAATAATGCTTCAAATCGTGGTATGAAATACAAACCAGCACCATAAAAAAGTTTTAAAAAAATTAAAAAACATATTGCATCAAAATACTTTACAATGTGATACTGGGTTTGTTATTTAGCCTAATTTGCTATTTTCCAAAAAAAATATTTAGCTTAAATTTAATGAATTTAAAGGGACTCCCAAGTGTCTTAAGACAAGTTATGTGACAAGACAAGTGTCGAGACAAGTTATGTTTATTTTGTAAATAAACATTTGAAAGTAAGTTTTGAGTTTATTAAAATTACCAAAGCAATTTTTATTTATTGGCGCAATATTTTATTTATTGAGATATTAACAAAATAAAATTTTTGTTTTGCCAATATACTTCTGGTTGAAAGGTTAATATTAACTCCATGAATCTGCATAGTTTTTTCTGTTGTAAAAATATCAAGTTTGAATAATAAATGTAATTACTGCAAATTTTTTAAAATGACACAATTAGATTGGGTTTTCCCCTATTTTTAAAAAAGCGTTGACTCTACTTCAACTTGAGGCTTGACAAAACAAAAATTGTAATTAAGCAAAGAAACTTTGTTTTATTTTTATTTCCATTAAAATATTTCATTTTTATTGAAAGTAAAATCAAACATATTTGCACATATATTTAGTTCCACATCAGCTTGGTTAGTTGATTATAATAAAAAATTTACTCAGTAATAGTTTTTTATGAAAGCAACAAATCTTGTTTTAGTAATACTTTTTCTTTTAAACTGATTTGTTCACCGAAGCATAATAAACTGCAGATTTGCACTGTGGAATGTAATAAGCTAAAATGCCCCTAAATAATTTTTTTTTTTTTTTTTAAAATACTTACTTTGTATTTTGTAAATTAGAAGCAAGTTTTTATTGCAACAAATTATTTGAAAATTAAAAAGGTAAAAACTAATTATTATGGTCAGAAATAGAGTGCGATAGTACCCGCTTCCCAACCAAGCCTGCATTTGACATTGGAATCATAATTTATGAGGTTTTTAAGAGATTTATGTTAAAGTTACATAAACTATTAGTATTACAGGAGATGTCTATTATAGCAAAATTACTAAAAACTTCCTAAATCTCAAAATCCTAAATTTTTGAATCTTATCAAAAAATCTCATTTGCTTGTTTTCACACCTACCTCCTTGCGATGTAAAAGCTGGACCTTCAAAGTCTAATTCTTCAATTCGAAACATTGCTGAAGCTTGTTTAACAACTTGACGATTCATCATCTTATTAAGAAAACAAAACAAATATAAAAATTATTACACAATATAGAAATAAACATTTCTATATACAATGAACAAAATTTAAAAAAATTGTTCATTGCATATAGATATATATATATATATATCCTATATATATAGGATATATGCTCATTGCATTTATATATATATATATATATATATATATATATATATATATATCCTATATATATATAAATATATATAAATTAGTAGAATATATATATATATATATATATATATATATATATATATACACACATATATATAAACATATATATAAACATATATATATATATATATATATATATATATATATATATATATATATATATATATATATATATATATATATATATATATATATATATATATATATATATATATATATATATATATTGGAAAAAATGTGGGATTTTCTAATTGTGTTCTACCTGATATAGCCAACAAACAGGTTGATCAATTGCTTGACATCTATAATACTCCAGCTTCTGTATCTAAGTGATTTTCTGCTTAAGAATTTTCTACAGCTTATGGTTCGGACATTATACCCAACCCTCAGAATTAGGAAAAATGAGGTCAGCAATAATTTTGTGACCTCATTTTTTTAAAGGTCAGCAAAAAAATTTGATACAAAAGTCTTACCATAAAACATAGAAATGAGGTCAGCAATTTTTTGCCAGCCTCAAACACTTAATCTCTCATTATGAATCTAATAGCTTTCTGATAATCAATATAGATTTCGATATTCTTGTTCTACAGCTGATTTGCTAACAATAATAACCGATAGGTTTTATTGTGCATTAAATTGCTATTGATCTTGTCATTTCTAAAGCTTTTTGATAAAGTTTAGCATGCTGGTCTTCTCCATAAGTTCTCTTCTTACAGTGTATCAGGTAACATCTTTAAGATTATTGAAACCTTCCTTACCAATCATAGTATAAAAGTTGTCCTCAATGGACAGCTTCTTCATATCCTATAACTTCAGGGGTTTTTCAAGGTTTTTCGGCTAATTGTCATTGCAACAAGTGGCCATCCATAAAGCATGTACACAGTAAAACCACTGATTTAGGACCACCCCCTCCCCCCTTGTATGAACATGTACGCTTTCAATGACCCCCTTGTCCACATACGTAAGCATTATTTTTTTCAAAATAAAGCTTCCCCTTCCTTCTCTAAAAATAAATATTTCAAAACATTAAAAACAAAAAAAACATTTAATCTATTTGACATTTCTCTGTACTTAATCAAAACTTAAAAAGTTACTTAATACACTTATTTAAATCTGAAAATGTTACAACATATTTTAACATTTTAAGAGAAATGATAAAAACCGGTTTGTGTACATTAATTTAAAATGAAGAATTCAAAATATTTTTGATTTTCATCTTGTTACAATCAAATTAATTTGAGAAAAATAAAACTTTTTACTCTCCTCATTATTTATAAAGAAATTAAAAAAAAAATTGTGACTGAAGTCAGAAAAAAAATACAATACTGATTTGTTAAACACATGAATCTAAATGTTAAAAAAAAAAAAATAATAAATCAAGTTTAGGAGAGATAGTCAAACTACGTACGTAGTCAGTCTTTAACACCCCTTTTCCCCCTTGTATGCGTTCGTACATTTTTGGGTTTTCCCCCTCCCCCATACCTGTGTACAAACTTTATGGATGGCCTCTAATCTAGATCTTCCTATATTTATGATATCGATGAGTCATCTTTTTTTATCTTCTAGGATTAACTCTTCTTACTTCTAATCTTTCTTGGGAACCATATATCAAATCAATTGCAAAATTAGCATTTGTTAAGGTTGCATCTCTTTATCGTGTTTGCTACTTTCTTACTCCAGATTCTATTCTTTATCTCAAACCCGTCTTTGTATGGATTTAAAAACTGATCAAAATTCCAAATTTTTTTAATTGTATGTGTACAGTAATCTTTTAATTTCATAAATTTACCTCCCTATTGCTCCAGTGTTCACTACAGGGAACTACTCATTTTGTAAAAAATTAATCATTTCTCTCTCAAAAAGTTATTATTTCTCCCTCAATAATTAACTTAGAAACACTAACATTTTTAAACAAGAGAGGGGGCAGAGTAGATTTAAATCTCAACCTCTTGATTGTGAGCCAAATGTTTTACCACTAGTCTACAACCATATTATATCTATGGTGCCCAAGGGGACTCCTTTAACTATAAATGATGTTAATTAATTGCATTAAAATAAAAACATGCTCAGAATGTTTTTGACTAAGAAAAATCAGAATGAAATTATTATAGCAACTGAGTTATTCAAAGTTGATAAGACAATATAAATGTTGCAAGCTAGTTTTTATACTAACATGTTAAACACGTCACTTCAAAAACTAGTTTGGACAAGTTTACAACATGTAATCTACAAGTTTGCAACATGATATAGCAACCTTAAAAATTATCATCAATTGACGATAATTTACCAGATTGATTTGATTCAAAACTATAAACACTTTTTAAAAATTATTGAATCATTGAAAAAAATAGATAGCCCAATTGCAGCCTTTTTTCAACAGAACATTATACTATCCAGCTTTCTGGGAAAGTCCTAGGCTTGATCAACACTATGCATTAAATATACTAATTTTCTTATTTTATATGATCATATTTGCATTTTTAAAACAAGGTGAGAATAATAATTAGCCAATTTGGGGTGACATTGAACACTTACTAATGTTTGTATTTTTTAGATTTTATATAGATTCATTTTGCAAATGGATTTGTGCCTAGGCTTAAATTGTTCTTAAGAATATTTAAAATGAATTTTGAATATTACGATGTCTTCACCACCATTATTAACTTATTAAGAATGATGTCTTCACCACCAGGTTCTTTATTTTTTCCATTTTATCACTTCAGTTTTGCAACTGAACCAAAGTAACACAATATATAGCTCTACTAATCTCTATTGTGTGTATTCGCCTTTTAGTAAATTTGGTACTGATGTTCAATTACACCTCGCTGTTTGTAGTCACCCTTATTGACGGTATGTGAGCCACGTATTGGGGTAAATGAAAATTTTAATACTCTTGAATATTAGCATTTAAACATGATGATTATAATTGGAAGGAACTCTATAAGATTTCTCTAGTTGTTTTTGGTGCTGCATTTTCTCAGATTAAAGTTGAACGAGATTTTAGTAGTTTTGCAATAGTCTACACTTATTTGAGAACTAGACTTTTAGAAACATTAAATGCGATATTAGTCGTGAGACAAAATTTGGATTTGCTTGACAAAGTAAAATTCTTTTAACTATATAAAAAAATGAATGTACATAACGCTATTTAATTTAAAATATAAAACAATTAATTACTTTTTCTAAATAATAAAACAAGCCTTGTCTTTAAACAACGGAAGTTTCAAATCCAGTGAAAATTAACTTTTTAAATGTTAATCAAATTGATTTTTAATTAATTCAATGTAAAATAAAATGAAAAAAAGTTACATAAGAGAATTCTAAAATATTTTCAATTATAAAATTCATTTATACTTAAATGAATGCTCATTGAAATTTGGTGTAAATGTAAAAACGCTAGTTTATTCAACTGTTTTAGAAAAAAAACATTCTCTGTGACAAAATTGCAACTTTTTTTCAAATAGTCAAAGGTTGGCAATTAATGCACAATTTCAATATCAATTTCCATTAGTCGGTCAAATGCAAACTCTAAACGTAACTGTCATTTGAAAAAAATATTTGTAACCGCCATTTAAGGAACAGTCATTTGTTAAAAACTTCAGAAAGTCAAATAAATTTGTGAATAAATAAAATTATGTTTCTGGCTAATTTTTAAATGATGATATTCAATTTTGAAGTTGACAAATTTCCTATTTTTTTTGTATCTATATAAGTTTAGTAAATTTAGTTTCCATTCAAAATGAATTTACCGACATAAAAATTGATAAACCACTTATGTAAAATTTGTTTTTAATTTGATATGGAATATATATTTTTGAATAAATAAATTAAAAATGTGTTTTTTTTATAAAAATTTTTTTTTTTCAAAGTTTTATGTAATAACATAAATTTATAACATAATTACATAATTAAGTACTAAATTATGTAGTTATTTATGTTATTGTTTTTTACAAAAAATCAGATTAAATCTTTTTTTCAAAAGGGCTAACTTTTTTTCATTTTTTCAAAAGGGCTAACTTGCCTCTACTGTGTCATAGATTTTTAAAATATTTATCATTTCTTCTTATTAAATATTTTAAGGGGAACTGAGGCAATTTAGCACTTTTTTTTAATTACATGATTTAAAAAAGTTGAACAGTGATTATTATTTTTTTCTTAAAATATGTGAATATTTTATTTTTTGGTTACAAATATGAAATTTTTTATTTGTTTACTTAATATGATTTTGTGTTTGTTTCAACAGAAGTAAAATAAAATATATAATAAATGTAATGGAGGAAAATAAAAATGTAAAATACATAACAGAAATAGATTTATTCACACAATTTATTAAAGCTGACAAAACTATTAAGTTGAATTCAGTAGCATATTCAGCCATTAAAGAAATACTTTATAAAAATTTTTGAACAATCAGTTAATTCACTGGAGTTTGAAAATGTGTATGAAAAAACATGGAAGCATTATAAACGCCTGAAAAAGAAATATTTCAAGAAAAATGGATACGCATTTATACTTTTACAAGCATCAAAATATATTATTTATGAAGTAGAGGATGCATATATAACAGAACCGTGTTTTTCAAAACAAAGAAAATCTTTTACAAAACTGGGTGATAAGATAAAACAAGAGAGGACACAGGAACTTCTCAATTATATAAACAACTTTATCACTAATGAGTGCCCAGAGTTGCATGTTAATCAGATATTGGGTTACCTCTTATATAGAGTTAACACACAAAGTAATAAAAGTATTGTTCGTGTTGGAAATGCTATTTTTACATACCATGTAGAAACAACAGATATCTTTAGCATAGAAGAATCCATTGCTCTAATGCATTCCGTTACATTAAGTAAAGGGCAAATAAGAAAATTTTGATTTCTTTTTGCTTCAAAAGGCATCTATTTTCCAACAACTAATGAATTGCTTGAAGGAAGAAAAAAATTGCGCCCTACAATTAGTAATGTTTTGAATGGAAGAGGTGTTTCTGTTCAATACAAACATATATCTATGTCAAAATTTATATTCAAGAAACAATGAAGGATTTCAAGTTTAACGACTCATCAGCAGACTAGGAGGTGCAGATTGTATACTTTGCAAAACAAAAAATACTAAATGGACAGATATTAGGAGAGTTAGTGAAGGATTTCTGATTGATCGATCATCAGAAAAAACTTGGGCGCTGTAGGAAAAGCTAGTTAAGAAGGATGGTATTATGACACATGAAAAGGACTGACTAAAAAACCACAAACCAAATCTGATCGAAAAAGCATATGTATTACACATTCATATATAAATAGCACTAACTGGTTTTTAAAACTAGTTTATCGGTGTCATACAGATTATAAACTTTGGGTTACAAAAACAGGACCACTTGGTGAACCAATACATAATGCAAAAGACAGGGTTATTACTAAATTAAAAGAAAACACTGGACTGCGATAAGATATGTGTTGTAACTCTGGTGAGAAGGGAGGAACATCTACAACAGGGTCACAAAGCCATAGATTTTGTTAATTTTGCTAATTTCTACCATAAAAGATCTATGCTCTCCTCTGTACAAAGATAGCATCTTACATTCTCAAATCATAGCATCTTACTACTACATTCTCAAATCAGTATAATACTTTGTATAGTTTATCAGTGTAAATTTAAAATAAACAAATTTAAGGAGTTATACAATAATGCTAGACTTAACATTATACAATAATGCTACACTTAACATTATTACAAATATGCCATAGGAACAAATTAACCACACTCTTCATTGGCAATTTATTGGAGGAAGGTTTAGAAGCAAACAACAAAATATTAGAAACTATTTAAAACTTCTCTCTTGTAAGACATCGCATTTAGAACTTACAGATGGGATGAGTTTATTTTTTAGAGATTAGATCCTTGTGTTTTAAACCAAATTATCCATTTGCATTATCCAAAGTTATGCTAAGATTGTGGTTCAAATGAGCATACAAGCAGACCTTATGAGCGTATGTCTTCAAAACCAAAGAGATATTTTGATGATATGTTTGAAAAATTTATTTATGATTAATTATAAAGTTATTAACATTTTTTACTATTTTAACTTTTTATTTTCAAATATATGTTGCAAGTTTAAATCATTAGAACTCTTTCCTTATAATTTTATTATACTAACATTATTTTGAATCCGAATTTGACAGAATGCTTGTTTTTAAATACTAAACTTATCAATAGAACAGTAGAATCTAGACCCCCAAGTTATTTAAATTTTTGAACTTTCTTTTCTTTAAGTATATCTAAAACTACTTTTTTAATTGTCATCTAAAAAATAAAATTTAACTTGAAGTATTTATCAAAAAATACTAATTTATCAAAAATGACCAAATATGGTAATTTGAACCCAGACCACAAATTAAGTTTAATATTAAAAATTTAAATTTTCCTATATATAAAAAAAAATATTTCTAAAAAGTCCTAAATGAGTTTTCTTGGATTTCTTAATCATTAGTTATGATCCTATTTCCAAAACTATTGCCTTCTGGGCCTACTGTACTGTTGTTTAAAAAAATAAAAATTTTTCTTTAAAAAAATGTTTTGTCTGACCCATTAATATTATGTTCAATTTTTTGTTTCGAAATAATTCAAATGTCTTAAGATTCTAAAGAGTTATACACCAAACAATAACAGAATAATGACTTTATCAAAGTTGTTTTTAGGGTTACAGGTATACAAGACATGTTGACTTGTACAGGACAAGAACAATAAGGGCGCGTGTGGACGGAAACTCTTGCCGGAAATAATCCCAGTAACTTGGTAATACATTATTAGAAGTAAAATAAAATATAAATGTAAAATACATCACAGAAATAGATTTATTCACACAATTTATTAAAGCTGACAAAACTGTTAAGTCAAATTCAGTAACATATTCCATTATTTATAATTTTATCTGATGTATATATATATATATATATATATATATATATATATATATATATATATATATATATATATATATATATATATATATATATATATATATATATATATATATATACATATATATATATATATATAAAATTAGGAAATTTACTTTAAAAAAATTGTATAGAAGATTTTTTACCTGGAAGTGAAAGTTTAATATGACATTCTTATTGGGTAGTATATAAAAAGAAAAAAACACAGAAATAAAAATCATATTAATGTAATAGCCAGCCCAGTGGGCACAGTACGTTTTTTTATTTTTCTTATTAGGTTGGCATGCTGGTCTTTTCCATTAACTTGGTTCATATGATGTATCTAGGAATATTTTTGAGATTATTAAATCATTTCTTTTTAACTGCTTTATCAAAGTCATCATCGAAGGTAAACATTCTTCTTCATTTCCAGTAACTTCCAGTAACTTCAAGGTTCTATCCATGGGCCTGTTTTGTTTTTTATCTGCTTTAATAATCTTCCTGACAACTATACATCTAAAGTAGCTTTTTGATGATGACTCAACTTTATACTCTTGTCTTGAAAAAAATCTCCTCTTTTTGATTGCTTATAACAGGCAGCTGATCTTGAATCTGATCTCATTTCTGTAACAGATTTGGGTATGCAGTGGCTTGTGAATTTTAACTACAACAAAACTCATTTATTTACTGCAAACAACTATCGTAGTACTGTTGACATTCCTATATTAATGAATGGCAACCCTTTTACTAAATCTTTTTCTTTATGTCTTCTTAGATGATCGTTTACCTTTCATGGAAACCATATACACAACCAATTTTTTTTTAATATCTTGGCTCCCAACAAGGCTGCAAGCAACCACTAGTTAGAGTCAGAGGTTACTGGAAAAGAAAAGAGGAAGATTGTAGAACAAGATCATGATTGATAGACAACTTAAAAGATTGCAAATTATATGAATCAGGAAAGCAAGATGTAGAAAGAAAATTCCAAAGAACTGATGTTCAAGGAAAAAAACTAGAAAAATAAAAGTTTTAGAAGCACTTGGTCACAGAAAAAGGATCAGACTTAATTGAATGATGAGTAACATGAGAATTTTAGTAGATGGCAAAAGAGACGCTAGATCTTTAGAGCAGTGTCCAGGAAGGCTGGATTTGAGATTTATAGAGATATAGAATAGAATATGGAGTAAGAAAATGGCAAGTACAATAAAGAAATGCAAACTTAGCTCATGCTAATTTAGCAATGGATTAGATATATGGTTTCCAAGAAAGATCGGAAGTAAAAGTTCATATATCAAAAGCTTTAGAAATGTAAAAATAATGTCCTTAACCTCTCCACCTTTATCTAATGCACGATAAAATCTATAGGTTATTACTGTTAGCAATGTTTGTAAAGCTGCATCTCTTTCTCTTTTCTAAAAATACTATAATGGTCACTGCTCAAAAGTGCTATCATCTCAAGTTCCATCAACCAAAACTCATTCTCACTTGACTTGTCATTCAGTAAAGTCTTATTCTTTTACTGTATCTGTTCCTGCATGTTCTAAAAACTTTTTTCTAGTTTTTTTCCCCGCACTTCAACCCTTTGGAACTCTCTCCCATTTCCTTGTTTTCTTGAATCATACAACATACAACTTTTTAAGTCTTCTGTCAACCATTTCTTTTCTATTTAACTCTATTTTTTATTTTCTAGTAACTCCTAACTTTAAAGTGGTGGTCTTGTTGGGAGTAACTCAGAACTATATATATATATATATATATATATATATATATATATATATATATATATATATATATATATATATATATATATATATATATATATATATATATATATCTATATCTATATCTATATCTATATCTATATCTATATCTATATATATATATATATATATCTATATCTATATCTATATCTATCTATATCTATATCTATATCTATAAAAAATTCATTCACATGTATATAGATGTATATAGATGTGAGACTTTTTTTTTTTTGTAATGTTCAGATGTATGCATTTTGGAATGGCGAGTAGTTTTGCCTATATAATAGAAATTAATCCTGCCCATACAAATTTATAGATCACAAATGATTTGATCTCTAAAGAAATAGGATCTATAGATAAAAAGAATATAGATAAAAAGACTTTTAAAATTTTTTAGTGAGTTAATTACTAATTTAACAGTTACGGAATGTCAATATTTTATTGCAATTAAATTCACTGTTTTTAAAAATTATTAACATCAACAAAGTCTATCAATAATATTGGTTTGTTGAAAATATAATAATAATGATTGATTTTTTAATTCACCTTTTTGTCATTAATGGTGACTGTGTATCGAACACCTTTTGGTTGTATTGCTGAGCCTGGTTGTACTTCATTGTTACTAAACCCACAATGCTCACATTTGAAAGATGAGATTATAACTTCCTTGAAAAAAGGAATCTTTGTTAGCAGCAACTTTGTTACACCCTAACAATTTGAAAATAGAAGCTTTTTAAAACATTAACTTAAAAAACAAAATACTAAATATTTATAATATCAAATATTTATAATATTTATAATATAATATTATATATAATACTAAATACTTATAATATTAAACATAAATAATTAAAATATCTAAAATAAAATACTTAAAAAAAAAATGACACAATACTCAACTTTCATTACCGTAAAAAAACTTCTCTTGAATAAAAGCAATATATTATACTTATATATTATGATAAACTACTGTTTTGTTTAATATTTTGGCACATAATAGAATGGCATTATAAGTAAACTCATTTTTAGTTTTAAATTTTTTTTTATTTTTTTTTATTGGTAGTCACAAAGATTTTCTTAAAGCTACACAGCCAAATAAAACATTTCTCTCAGAAACATGCTCTTAACAGCATTTACAGGTATTGTTTTAAAACTCAAGTGTAATTCAGCTTATAACCTCAGCAATGTGTTGAATTGTAATTAATGGCATGTAATTCTACTATTAACCTCATTCATTAGTTAAATTGTTTTTTGTTTTTAAGGCCTCCTTAAAATCTCTTTTGATAGCATCTTAAGCAGTAGCTTTTAAAACTCATAACATTTTTGAAATGTCACAAATATTCTAATCTTGTTGTAATTTCACTTTTTTTTCCCCTTTTTGAACTAATTCACTTTCATTAACAACATTAATGAACTATCTATATTATGTAAAGGAGAAACAATACAGGACCAAGGATAGAACCTTGAGGTACCCCAGAAATTACTAGAAAAGAAAAAGAGTGTCCTTCAAGGATGATTTTAATACAGCAGTTAGAAAGAGATGTTTTAATAATCTCAAAAACTTTCCTTACCATATGAAGCAAGCTTGTAGAGACCAGCATGATAAATTTTATTGAAAGCTTAAATGTCAAAAGCAATAACCATTGCCTTGCAGCCTTTATCTAATGCACCATGAAATGTTGTCCAAGCAACAAAAGCTTGGATAACTTGGATGTCTAACAATAAGTTAACTTGTTTAACTGGAATGAAAAGAAGAATATTGCCATTGGATTCAAGAGTCCGATTAGCTGAAAAGTTCTTGCAAATAGTTCTGCTTTATCTATGGGAGAGGTAATGAGATCAGACCCATGAACTAAAGATGAAATGTTTGAAATTTTTACAGAAATTATCAGCCAGTAGGATAAGTGGTGTTAGAGAAATTATTGCGAGCAGGATAAGTGGTGCCAAGCCATTCAGTGTGATGAGTATTAAAGTCAACAATAACAATAATATTGGCAGAGGGATATAAAAAAGGGCCAATTCGATGAGTAATTTTATCTAAAAGAGTACATTCTTGAGAAGGAGAAGGATATAGAACAAAGAAAAAGATGGCGCTTAGCAGAAACAAATAAAAGATTGTGATTAGCAGAAACAAATAAAAGATGGTGATTAGCAGAAACAAATAAAAGAATGGTCAGAATGGTCATATATTCAAACCTGATTTATACTTCAGTTATGATTTAACTTAAAGAGACTTATTCATAGATTGACAACTACATCCCAAGCAATGAGCAACGCGGTTGCCTCAGTCCTGCCATAGGAGAGGTCAGAAAGAACACGAACATACATATATAGTAAACTACAGGTGAGCTAACACAGAGCTACCACTATAGACATGACAGATACTAGATAGTATTTTTAATTTTATTGAACTTAGTAACAGTGTGTTAAAAATACATACATTTTTATAACATTGCATACACAAACTTTCAATCTCTTGAGGTCCCTCAAATGCATCAGACAAATCAGGAAACAAAGACATAATTTCTGAATGTAAAAATTTCTGTAACAGTAAAATATAATTAAAAAAACATTAATTAAAGTTTATATAACTGATATTAATGAATAAAAACAAATAAAAATTGATATGAAAAAAATAACAAAGATAGTAAAAATATTAACACACCCTGCTTACTTATAAAAATACTTGAAACATTAAGTAAAGAATATAATTTTAAATATTAGCTTTAATTTAAAGTGGGTAACATATATATCAACACATGTTTATTTGTACTGATCACTTTTATTGATTTTAATACTTTTGGACTGCCTTAATACTTGAGTTGCCTTAAATTTATAGAAAATAATAAAAGTTTCAATAATATAAAGCTAATATTTATAAAAAAAAATCAAAAACAACAAAAAAATCTGTTGATGAACTAGGATTGCTATGTATGGAAAACATAAAAATTTTATCTGTTCAAAAGTGTTATTATTCAAATATTGATATATTTGTATTTGAAATTAGGAATAAAGCACTTAATCTAACAATTATTATTTTGTGAAGTTTAAAAACAATAGTGTGAGTGTTGAAATTGTATGTTTGAGTTTGGGCAGGTACTATATACATTTGTTTAACAAAAATATCACTAAACTTTAATTTTTACCAGTATTATATTTTTATCATATTTTTCTAAAAAAAATTGACACTCAAAACTAATTAGGGTATATCAAATTGCACACCTTCACTATTTAAAAAGAAGCAACACAAAAAATTATGAATAGTAAGGAGAAACACACAAAAATTAACAAGCAACATAAACTAAAGAGGGTTTACAAAGTGAAAAAAAGAAAAAAAAGAAAGAAGAGTGAATCTATTCATTTACAAACTTTATAACGAATTCACATTACAATTTATAAAATACACTTATGTTACCTATTATCATTTTAATACAATAAATAAATTACAACTAATAAAACGTAAAATCTATTTATTGAAGAAATAAAATGTTAAAGGCCATAATTATACAACAGCCAGCCACCCAAGGGCTCTTTCTTTCTCCGATTCTTGCACATTTCCAAAATATACCAGTAAATCCAACTTTATAACGGTCTAAGATGCTTGGCACAACAGCATGAATATATGTACATGCACATATAAGAAGTAACACCACAGTTAATAAACTTTCAAAGTTAAATATTGCACTCATTTTTTATTTTTCTACTGCCAAGCGATGCAATCACAAATAATCAAACTAAATTATATAAAAATACTTTAAATTAATGATAAATATAAATTTATCATACTTTGAAATATATATTATATATATATTATATTTTATATATATATATATATATATATATATATATATATATATATATATATATATATATATATATATATATTTATATATATATATATATATATATATGTTTTAAAAAACAATAAATTTAATTAGTTTCTTCAATTAAATTTAAAATTAGATTAAATTTTTGACCACAAACTCACCGTGGTAAAAATAGCTTTTAACGACTCTTTATGTTTCAAAAAGACAAAACTAAGTACAGTATTTATCAAAACCATTAAACTTAATTAAGGAAATAATTAAATTTATTAAATCAAAAAATTTATTTATCAAAAGTGCAAATTCATAGGCTGGGATGTTTTTAAAAACATTCTGAATGTTTTTATTTTTTTATTGTTTACATACATCGACTGACAAATAGGTATAATATAGGAAAATCAATAAGGTAAAGATAGGAGAAGTGCTGCTACATTGACTGAGGGTTTTGTCATGTTTATTCACTTTAGCTTATCTAAACATTGGCATTTGCTGACACATTTTTAAAAACAAACATTCTTACAATTTTTTCCCCAAATAATTATGCAATTGATAGTTTTTTATTTATTAATAACAAATTATAATAAAAAACATATATTTATAACAAATAATAAGTGATTTAAAATGCATTTTAAAGACTTTAAAAGAAACCATGCACATAATTACTTTCTTTGATAGCATTACTTTTAAGTAAAGAAACTAAGTACATATTGAAGAAAGTAATAATGTTTTAGCATAGTTTTTGCATGCATTAACAAAAGCATGCAAAATTTTACTTGAAATTATTGCATTTGCAATTACTTTAAAAGAAAACTATGCTTTAACGTTATGATTGCTATCTTCATAGCGTGCTTTTTTCCATAAAGTTAAGTAATTATTTGCAGGGCTGGTGCATTTGTTTTGTTTGAATGGCTTGCTTAAGTAGGTGTCACATGGGGGAATGCCATTAAATTTTTTGCTTACCAAAAAAAAAAGTCTGGTTGTAAAGGTCTACTTTTGCCAGCTGACTTGTCTGAAGGGGTCAAATTTGCTGACTAAATTTACAAAATTTATTAAAGGGGAAATGTCTTCCACCACCACCACCACACACACACTGTTTGTGCTAGCCTTGTTTGTTTGCATATTACAAAACACTTTTTAAGATTTGAAATAAAATTTTTTTTAATTTTTAGTTCCTTTTATTTTAATTTCTTCAAATTTATATGTTTTATTTATATATAAATAAAGTTAACAAACTAAATTAAAGAAAATTTACTCCTTAGTATCAATGAAAAACAGTTTACAATCATTAGGTCATTGCATATTAATTATCATTAATTTGCCCGCGCTTTTGCAAATGAGTAAAAAATTATTTAAAAAATTAAAAATTGATCTAGTTCTTATAATAACTAATAACATCTTTGATATATCTAATAACTTATAAACGAGAATAAAAATTATTTGAAAATAAAACTCCCTTATTTGACATATACAGCTCTCGGTATTAGACTTTGCATTCGGCAATGCCAACCGAGAAATAATTAAGGTTGGCAAAAAATTGCTGACCTCATTTTTATGTTTTATAGCAAAACCTTTATAACAAATTTTTTATTCCAACCTGATGCCAACCTCTAACAGATTAAGGTCAGCAAATTATTGCCGCCATTAATTTTTCTAATTCCAAGGGCTGCATATTGTTTTTAATAAAACTGTAATTTACAAACATATATATATATATATATATATATATATATATATACAGGGCCGTACCAGGCCAACTTTGCGCTTCGGGCAAGCAAATAATATTGCACCCCCCTCCCAAAAAAATATACAAAAAACACATTATATATATATATTTACATGAAAAAAAATTAATTATTGATCACAAAATTTATCGCATCAAGTTAAAAGAACAATTTGTCACCAATGTTTCACAAACTTCAGTTCAAGGTCACTTTTCTGGCTTTTTTGGAGGCAAAGTCACTAATGACATCATCAAAATCAAGTGCGTTGGCCACTTCATGTTCAATTGAAACTACTGCCAGACAAGACAAACTTTCTTGGCCCATAGTTGATCTCAAATAGTTTTTTATGATCTTAAGTTTACTGAAACTTCTTT